TAAAACTCGGATGCCTACAGGGGCTACTATTTTCCTTTCCCTCTTTTTTTACAAACCTACATACAACTAATCTGGAACGGAAAGATTCACGTACAAACATGTTGGGTATGAATATATTAATTTCTAATATCGTAACCTGCTGATATTTTTGTGCAAATGTATTATTCTACCCTATACTATAACTTGCAGCAACATCGGAAGCAAACTGGCTTAATATTAATATCATTTGTCACTAATGGCATGTGCTTGAAAACATTAAAATAATATACAGATTAATATATACAAAAATGGCTTACAATACCGGAAATCATGTGGCAATGTAGACTTCCAATTCCTATATAAGATGTTTAATAACCGCTGAAAATTGTATTCCCGTGTTGACGGTACATGTTGTCAACATGGCACGTATATTGATTGTCCTCTGTTTGGCTGCGTCATTTTACCTTGTACATCCTGCCTCACTTACTACTCTCCGAAGTCGACAACAATCCGCGCAAACTAGAGGTGGTTCGAAACCCATTACTAGATTGGAAGGTGTTAAACATCTGTCACGCAGCCGTGAAGCAAGTACAAACCAACAGTCTCCAGTTCTTCAAACTGAAACCAAACGAACATCTCAGGTAAAGCCCCATTTCAATTATAACACTTTACGTATAGAGAAAATATAGAATATAACACACACATTTACAAGGATTGGTTAAAATAACTGTGTTTATTTATAACATTATACTATTTGTTTCTATAGATAAGTGATAGAAATAGAAGAGTCCTGGGAGCTCAATCACCTAATACAAACCATCAGAAACGCCAAGGTATAGCATTTAATTTTTTGTTACTATTAGTTTACAATTAATTCAATTCCATGGGATACGGACAGTATATTGGTGCCACATAATAGTATAATAATACATTGTTCCTATGGTGACAATTGTTGCGCTGTAATTCTACTGGTGTTTGTTATTCGTCAGTAATGGTATATGCCTGTCATGTATTTATTATTTTAGTAATGATGGTTGGTACAGACATTGTACAGTGTTGGGACGGCACTTCGATTCCACTACAATACAAATGTGATGGCATAGTAGATTGCCCATATGGCGAAGATGAGTTACTCTGTCAGCAAGGAGCTCGAGGTTTTCCAACTGTTCAATGTACCTGTGACGAGATCCAGTGTGGTGATGGTTCATGTATTCCCAAGTATTGGCAGTGTGATGGCTATAACGATTGCTGTGACGGTAGTGATGAAGTCTCTTGCCCCAATGTATGTGGTTATACTGACTTCCAATGTCTTGATGGCAGTTGCATTCCGCTTATCTTCGTTTGTGACGGTTTACTTGATTGTTTAATGGGCGATGATGAAGTAAGCTGTCAGGTGTCTTGTTCTGCTAACGAATATGCTTGTCTGAGTGACAACAATTGCATTTCCAACAGCTGGGTATGTGATGGCTACAATGACTGCTTAGATGGTGAAGACGAGATTGGATGTGAACCTGAAGCTTGTGATCACAATCAATTTATGTGTGAACCTGATGTATGCATACCCTCTGACTATGTATGTGATGGTAGCTGGGACTGCTTCTGGGGAGAAGATGAAATTGATTGTTCCTGTGGTGAATGGCAGTTTACTTGTTCCGATGGTGCGTGCATCTCAGATTCATTAGTGTGCAATTCGAATAATGACTGTGCTGATGGGGAAGATGAATTCGATTGTGAAGAACAAACATGTGATGATGACGAATTCACCTGTAATAATGGCAAATGTATAATCTCATCTTGGGTTTGTGATGACTATTCTGACTGTGATGATGGAGAAGACGAAGTTGGATGTGAAGAACAAACATGTGATGATGACGAATTCACCTGTAATAATGGCAAATGTATAATCTCATCTTGGATTTGTGATGACTATTCTGACTGTGATGATGGAGAAGACGAAGTTGGATGTGAAGAACATACATGTGATGATGACGAATTCACCTGTAATAATGGCAAATGTATAATCTCATCTTGGATTTGTGATGACTATTCTGACTGTGATGATGGAGAAGACGAAGTTGGATGTGAAGAACATACATGTGATGATGACGAATTCACCTGTAATAATGGCGAATGTATAATCTTATCTTGGATTTGTGATGACTATTCTGACTGTGATGATGGAGAGGACGAAGTTGGATGTGAAGAACATACATGTGATGATGACGAATTCACCTGTAATAATGGCAAATGTATAATCTCATCTTGGATTTGTGATGAATTTGCTGACTGTGATGATGGAGAAGACGAATTTGGCTGTGAGGAAAAAACATGTGGAAACGATGAGTTCACTTGTATTAATGGACAATGCATTCCAATACAGTGGGTTTGTGATAGCGAGTCTGATTGTACAGATGGTGAAGATGAAGATGGTTGCCCGGTTACAACATGTGACACAAATGAATTCACGTGTATGGATCGTTCATGTATTGCTATGTCTTGGGTATGTGATGCATATAATGACTGCGATAATGGTGAAGATGAGTACGACTGTGATGAGAACAGTTGTAATGATTATCAGTATAAGTGTAATGGCGGGGATTGTATACCAGGTACGTGGGTATGTGATAATATGAGTGATTGCGTCGCTGGTGATGATGAGGCCGACTGCGTGGAAACCTCTTGCACTGGGAGCCAATTCAGCTGTAATAATGGTGAATGCATTCCCCAGCACTGGGTGTGCGATGAATGGTTCGATTGTGATGACGGGGAGGATGAAAACGACTGTAGTAACAGACAATGCAATGATTATCAATATAATTGTGGTAACGGACAATGCGTCCCTGCAAACCGGGTCTGCGATGGATGGCTCGATTGCATCACTGGTACTGATGAATTCGGGTGTTCTGAGTGTGATGCAAATGAATACACGTGCTCAGATGGATCCTGTATTCCCGTAGAATGGAAATGCGATGCCATGCGAGACTGTCAGATGAATGATGATGAAGAAAACTGCGACAGTAACGACTGTGCTTCATATGAATACCGTTGCCACAATGGCAAATGTATACCGACTGAATTTGTTTGTGACAGTATGGATGACTGTGATCATGGCGCGGATGAGATTGGGTGTGGGCATGAGTACTGTTCTGAGGAAGAATTCTCATGTGGTGATGACAGATGTGTGCCAAGTGAGTGGCACTGTGATGGCATGAATGATTGTGGTAATGGAGCAGATGAGATAGATTGTGTTTGTAGTGATATACAATACACATGTGATGATGGCACCTGTATTCCTGATTTTTGGGTGTGTGATGGTGAAAAGGACTGTCCTACCGGAGATGACGAGATTGACTGTGAAGGATCACAAGGAAGCAGTGAATGTTATGGGTTTGTTTGCAATGATGGGGAATGCCTAGCTCCAGCATGGGAATGTGACTCAGTGTACGATTGTGATGGTGGCGAAGACGAAATCCACTGTAGCTGTGAGATGACATGTTCCCATGCAGTGGAGTGGTTGCATTCCTTATTT